TCTGAGCTTTTCTATTGTTTGCTGACTTACACTCTATAATATTAATTTTATTTGTGAAATCAGTTTATTCACTGGGATATAGCAAGTTCTTAAAAGGAAATGGAGTTATTTAATATACGCCACAGGACAAGATGTATGGGCCCTGTTCTCTGGTGCCTTGGAGTTCTCATGTCCTAGGTGAGTTACGAGGCATGCGACCAAATGTACAACTGCATTTCTTCAACCAATTTATTGCTTTTACACAGTATTTCTTTTAGATTTCCCTCCTAAGAGTCGGCTCTGAGATTGCAAACTTCATGATCCTTTCAGCCTGAGGCAGCTGCAGAACTTCATCGTAGCCTGAAACCCCCCTTTAAGCAGGAGCAGAGCATACAAGCCCATGGTCGCGCAGCGGGCAGGCGGCCCTGAAGCTCTGCCGACCTTCACCTTACAGGCTGTCCTTTGGCACGTCTGCCAAGAGAGGGGTAAAATGCCATCACGAGAGCATAAGCAAAGCCTGCCAGACTGGGGACCCTCTGCTGTCCCCGGGCTCAACTTGCTGGAGGGTAGCGGGAGGACAGTGAGGTACGGAGCAGTAAGGGCTCACTCGTGTGTGATCGGTGTCTGTGCTTCCACAGCACAGCCCTGCTCAGTGTTTCAGTGCTGACGGCAGGAAAGACTTTAGCCAAAAGGCTGCTTAAACCAAACTATACTGAGGTAGGGCATGTTGTATTTCTTTACGTCTTGACAACTGCTCACTTCAGGCACCACAAAAACCTCTCATTTTTGATGGCGGGGGAAGGAACACTTTAGGCTGGAAAAGTCGATTTGTCGAGGGCTCGGGGCCCTCCGTCTCTGCAAAGTGGCAACACCGCAGCGAGCGGCGTCCTCTCCGCGGTCCCCGCGGCGCCGGCGACCGCCCCCGCATGCTCCGTCACCCCATCCGCACCGCGCTGCTGCCCCGCGGCAACAGCTACGGCACAGCGCGCAAGTTCCGCGGGATGAGCGGCCCCCACCGCCGTGCACACGGAGAAGCCGACCTTCTCCAAGGGCGTTTTGGCACTTCTCCTGCGGTGTCCGACTGGGGGCCTGCGCCGTCGGGAGCGGGGAGCGGGGAGCGGGGCACGGTCGCAGCCGGAGAGAAAAAGCCTCCGGGCCTCCGTGCTCCCTAGCGAGGGGAAGGCGAGGAGGAAGCACCCGTCGGGCTGGCTGTGGTGGTGATGCACTTCGGGGCGGGCCGCGGAGCCGCGGGTGGTGCGGCTGGGTCCGCTCCCTGCCGCCCAGGGGCAGCCCTGCGGCCCGGACCGCGGGCAGGGGCCACAGGCGTGGGGCTGGCGGGGCTTGCGCGCCCGTGGGAGAGGCGGGCGGCATCCAGCCCGCTGAGGCCGTTGCGTGCTTAATTGCTTTCTTCTTTCATGGAAATTATTCGCAGCGATGTTCTACGGGGATCTGAGTCGGAGGAGAGAAAAGGGGGACGCTGAGCGGGAGTTTCATCGGCGGTGAGCACCGGAGCCTGCCAAGCGCCGCGTCCCCGGCCGCCTACGCCTGTTTGTCAAATCTTGGCGTTTCCTGACTGGTTCATTAAAAACAAAACAAAATATCCCACCCCAATAAATCGGAGCTAAGTCGGTGATGATTTAGTCACCGAGAAACACCAACGGAATCAGGTGTCAGATCGACGGGCGGTCACTGTTTTTCTTAAAATAAAAGAATTAAGCCCTCGGTCTGTAGCCGAAGTCGTTTGCAGCATAGGCCTGTCTGTTGGCCGGGGTAGCCCGGGGCTGGGCCCGGTCCGCGGGTGCCTAGCTCTGCCCTGCACGCCCCGGCAGCGCTCCCCGAGTCAGCGACCGTCGAGGGCCGTCGGAGCGCCTCCCAAACCAGAGTGCGGCGGTGCGCTGAACCGGGGATTGTGCTCCCCTTCCCTTTGGCGTAGCCCCGGTCGTGAGCCGGCCCGGATACCCGCTGCCTTTCTCCCTCCGGCGACGTCTGCGGGCACAACCCCGACCCCCTCTGAAAATTAATTTTCGCGGGGATGAGTCCCCAGCGACCGCAGCCCCCCAGTGCCGACAGCGGCGGTCTGAGCCGCTCCGTGCGCGCATCGCGTACTGCAGCAGCGCATGGTGTCCCGCGGGAGGCTCCGCCAAGCGCCGCCGAGGGGCCTCGCTGCTGTCTCACGGGCTCATTTCTGTGCTCAAAGGGGAGAATGGTCAAGGTTTGCCCCAGGTTTCACGGCCGCAGAGGAACTGCTTTAATCTGTTCATCGCAGCGAGAACAAGCACTATCTCCTTGGACGGAATCCAGCGCTCCGGATGTATATTTTTGGGGGGCGGGGGAAGAGAGTGGGGGTAAGGCTGAGGTGACCGCAGCTTTGTCGGCACCGGTTGAACTCGTGGGTGGGAGAAGGCAGTGAGGGGTAAGCCCTCGGACGCCCGAGGATAGCGGTGCTGCCTCCGCCCCTCACTGGGGCTCCGTGGCCGCTCCCGGGCAAAGCTCTACACTGGGCCCGCCGAGACACCCACCCAACGCGCTGGGTCCGCCGGGACACCCACCCAACGCGCCCGACGGCCGCGGGGCCGCAGCAAGAGACGGTGCCGTGGCGGATGGAGCGCGCAGGGCCCCGCGCCGACCTGCAGGCGGCACTGCAGCACCGCGGGCCGCCGCCGCCGGGCGCTGCGGGGTCTCGGGCGCTTCCCCCGCACCGCCCGGCCGTGCCCACGCCCGGCCCGGGCATAGCAGGGCGGCCGCCCCACCGAGGGGGAGTAAGACCCGTGGGGCGAGAGGGTCCCGCCAATGTGGACGCGGAAAGGTGACGCGGGACCGGTGGCCCGTGCCCCCTCTGGTGTCACCCCCGCTCGACGGCTGTCCGCTGCCGGAGAGCTCCCCAGCGTGCAAGCGACCTTGGCCTCCGCCGGGTGCCGAGGCGCCGCGGCAGCATGGGCGGGCCACGCCGCCGGCTCTCGCCGCGCACCTGCCGGCCGGGCCGAGCGGAGCTGTGACGGGGTCACCGGGCGCTCCCCGGTCAGCGGAGACGTGCGGGACGGCCGCGCTGCCGATGGTGAGAGAGCGTGGCTTTCCCCTCTCCCAGCGCAGCCGAAATTCTCAGGAACGCCCGGGGAGCGAACAGCCCGGGCAGCAACCCCAGACCGCGCCGTTCGTCTCCAGAGTTAACTCCGCTTTGAGGCTTTTTTCCTTGCCTGGTCGCTGTGGGATTTGGGGAAGTAGTTGTTTAGGGTTTTTTTAAAAATTTGTTTTGGGTTGATTTTCCTTTATATATACATACATACATACATACATACAGATACATAGATAGATAGATAGATAGATAGACAGATAGATAGATAAAAAAATATTTATTTATATTTTTCCCCGGCAAGCGTGGCTTAGTTTTTGCTTGCTGTAAAGGTCAAGAAATTACGTTTCTCCCGAAACAATCTCCCTTTGATCCTTCTGTCCGGGGGGATTGTTCTTGATATCCACAAGCCAGCAGCGGGGAGAAGAAATTGCATCGTTCTTGAAGCAATCGGCCTCTCTCTCGAAAGCAAAAGAGAGAGGATGCGAGTCCCTGCCCCGCGCACTACCGGAGCCCCCAGCCCCACCGCGACCAAGTCCTCGCCCCGCGCAGGCTCCCGCGGCCGCCCGTACCCACGTCGCACCCAGCATGGGGGAATCTCTCCTTCTCTCAGAACTGTGAACCTCCTATCCTCACTGCCCGAGAGAAGAAGTGCTATTTATTTGGGACGTCTGAGATTTAAAATAGGGCATTTTCGAAGGAAGGATTTTTGAAAAGAAACGAAAAATAGCCCCCGCGGCCGGAGGCAGCCGCGGGCTACAGCGTGCGCCAGCCTCGGCTGCGCTTCGCTGTGAAGGGACATGGCCAAACCTTTCTCCGTCGGCTCCTATTTCCCTCTTTGATTATTTTTTTTGCACACTAAAAGGATTAAAAATCTCGTTGGAACCGTCACTTGTGTCCTCTTCCTCAGGCTCGAACTAACCAGCACAGACTCTACCTCTGAAAAATTTTCATAGCTGTCCTTTAAGGTCCATTTTCCCCGACATCTTTCCGTACTTTTCAAATCCTGGTTCCAATTTCTAGTCCAGATTATAAATTAAATTCCCCATACATGTGATTTAAGTAATGCACAGAACAAGATAACGTTACAGATGAAAATGTGACTGAAATTCTCCATGTGCAACCACCATGTATTGCGGCTGTCGACGAACGTGAATAGAGCGCTCTAATCAGGAAATTTGAAGAGGGTCACGAAGGCCCCATTTAGCAGTAAATTCCCCGTTAATAAATCGAAACTGCTTTCGAAACTGTGTCTGTTCCAGGTAGGGATTGTGTGCTTAGTCACCGCGTACGGGGTTGCCTCCGCAAAGATTCTCTTTGGGAATCTGCCTTTAGGCGCCTCAATCGCAATGGAAGGGCAGCGCTGAGTTGCTGAAGGGTGGGTCCCCAGGTCGACTCGACATGACGGCCACGAAGCCATTTGGACGTGAACTTTAACTGCAACCCCCCTTGGAGACGTAGGCACCTACAAAATCCCACGGTCTGGCTTTGGGGGAGTTAATTTAGATATTTAAGCCGCTTATGCCACCCCGACTGGGGCACGGCGGGCAGGCTGCCGAGGCGGGCAGTGCGGCGCAGGAGGCGCGCAAATCTCCGCGACCGGCAGCAGGGCGAGAGGCGTCGGGATTTTCGCGGAGGGAAAAGTCACCTTAGGTGACGCGGGGGAAGCGGGGGGCGTCCTGCCCCTTTAAAGACCAGTTGCTACCCAAACACAAGTAAACAGTGGGGCCGGCGCGGCGGGGCGGGCCGGGTCCGCAGCCGGGGGCGGTCCCGTCCCGTCGGGGCGGAGCGGCGCGGCCCCGAGCGCGGGGCTGAGCGAGCCGCGGGGTGGGCCGGCGGCGGCGGCGGGCGGGCGGGGACAGCGCTCCACGCCACTCACCGCTGAAATGTGATGGACCGGGCAGGGGGCGGCTCAGACTCGCGCCGAGCCTCGCCGGGGTCGAAGGCGGGAGGCTGCGGGCGGGTGGCGGCGGTCTATGCCGGGGCCCCGGGGCCGCCGCGGCCAGAAGTCCCAGCCGCTCAGCCCTCCGCAACATGCCGTCCGCCGCCGGGCCCCGGCCCCGCTGAGCGCCCTCGCAGTGGATCTAATGTCTCCGTGAAGGTGCCGCGGCCGCCGCCTCAGCGTTGCCCCGGGAGGAGCAGCAGGCTGCGGTAGGTGACTGGCTCCCCCGGCCCGCCCTGCCCAGTGCCGTCGGCGGGAGCGGGGCGGCCACCCCGAGAGCGGAACGTCCCCTCGGCCGGGAGCGCGGGACCGCCGGGCTTACTTTCAGTTCGCAGCTCCGCGGCAATTTGGGATGCGGGTGCCCCCCGCATGCCGTGGGCGCGTTGCTGTGGGGCCAGGCAGGGGCTTCATGGGGCGCGCAGCCCATGACCTTCATGAGAAATTCCTAGAGGGGAGAAGCCCGTCCGTGCACGGAGAGCGGGGCTGATCCGCGGGTGCAACTGGAGAAATCCTCCAGTGCGTGGAAACACCCGGCTGCGCCGGGACCGGCTGCCGCGGCTTCTGGTGGGGCCGGGGGGGAGCGAAGGCGACCCAGGGCCCACCCGCTCCCCGGGAATGACGGCAGCGCCCTCGGGGCACGGCCCGGCCCCGCCGCGGGAGGATGGGGAGCGTCGGGCGGGCCAGCAGGTCGGCGGCAAGCAGGTAGAAAGGGGTGTCCTGCCGAGACACCGGGCTTAATTTAATTAAGCTCTCAGAATGGAAAGGGAAAAGGAAGTGCCAAAGTTTAAATAACATCCGTTTTTGGTTGACTTTCTTTCCCCCCCCCCGCGCCCTCGCCTCAACGCACCTTGTTATAAATGGCCTTAAAATCACGTAGGAAGGCACTTTCTGGTCTTTTTTAAATAGGCTTTAATAAAGTTACCTCCGAATACAAATAGTAACAGATGTACCGCAGTTCAAACAGCAATGTAGTTTTAAAAGTTTCTTCCTTAAAATGCGGATTTCGCGTTTAGAATAGTTTTTTCAGACTTGATTGTTTGACATGAAAACGAGCGTCGTGCAATGACACCCCCACACACGGCCACCAAACGCGGCTGTAACAGAGGGAGCTCTGCCCTACAGAAATAGTGTCCCTCCCTCGGTCATAGTTCCCAGCCGGTGGCTCCGAAACCCAGCCGCAGCCAGCAGGGATGGAGGCAGGAGCCACGGGAGCAGCCAGCGAAAAGCGATTTTATTGCTTCTGTGTCGGTTCCTGGAGGAAAGCGAATAGGAACTCACACTACGACATCTTTAAAAATAAGTCTCTATATATAACCATCCCCCTCCAACAAAACGAAAAGATCGCCATATATAATAGGTCGTATCGATAACACTGTCCCCTATGTCGATACAACCACAAACGAGAAAAACTGGGCAGCAGCAGAGGAAGCCCTGGGGAGCCACGACTCGAGGAAAACGAAAACAGGGGTGTGCAGCGCTGCAGCTCAAGCCCGACCTCCTTGCCGCAATTTTTTTTCCCGGTGGGCCAACTGTGCGGTGCCACAAGCGGAGAATAAAAGTATTTTAGGAAAAAAAAATCGAAAAGTATCTTTCCAGCCAGAGGGTGCTCGGTGTCAGCGGCGTGGCCCGGGCCAGGAGCGTTGGTGAGGGCTGCGGGGCGGTGGCGGCCCGGGGGACAGGGACGCCTCTCCCGGAGCGGGGCTCTATGCTCGGAGTTTCTTTTATTTTTCTTGTTGTTCTGGGGGTTTGGTGTAGGATTTTGGCAGGGGGATGGTCTCTTGTTTACTTTGGAAACTGCGCCTTACCAGTCCTTCCACACAAATCCCAGGAGGTGCTGGGGCACCCTCGGCCCTACCTCTTGTTTACAGGCCCGGAGAGACCCCGGCGCTTGCTTTGGCCGCTTTCCTGGGTCGCGGCAGCCTCTTGGCTGCTGGAAGTGAACTCTTAAAGAACGCAAAGAAAGGAAACGGCAGGGGCTTGCCCCCCGCGCTGATGCCCCCCTGCCCTGCGGCAGGGGAGCATCTCCCCGGAACCACCGAGGGGACTCCCCGTGCGACGGGAGCAGCGGGCCCGGAGGTTTCGGTTGAGTGGGCTGAGTGAAACCCTCTGACAGTCACACACCGCTCATTAGCTCACGGCCCCGCCGCTCCGGCGGAGGTCCCGGCCTGGGAATGGCCGAGGGGGTGCGGGGTACTCCTCCTCACGACTCCGTCTCACCGGGGCTGCGCTCGTCCTTCTTGGCCCTGCGGGACGGAGGGATCCGGGTGCGGGGCAGCGCCATGCGGGGCGGTTCTTGGCGGACCGGAGAGGCCTCCGGGCTGGCCGCCCTCCTCGCCACTGATGGGATGGCTGCGGCGCGGGGGGCTGGGTAGGAGGTGTGCGTGCGGGGCCGGGGCTCCTTTTCTCTCCTTCGGTTATCTTGATAAATGAGTTGTTGTTGAAGGAAGAAAAATAAGCAACTGAGCTGGGATGAACGCAGGGTTTATTTCCCCTTCCCCCCCACCCCCGCTCCCTCACGGGCCTGCCTCGGCCCTCCGTGAGCACCCTGCTCCATCCCGGGGAGGCCCCAGTCAGGAGGGGTCGGGGTCGGGGCCTCTGCGCCCGCGGGAGGCCGGGAGGAGGGTGGGAGCGACGCCGGGGGCCGGGTCGGCGCGGGAGGTAGGAGGGAGGCTGCTCGGGGGTCCCCACAGTGGGCGCTGCGGGGGTCGGCGGCGGGGAGACGGGAAGCAGAGGGGCTTCGGCCCCGGCCCCGTCTCCGATCCTCGTGTATTTTTTCACCATTCGTTTAATTTGAATCTGCAGCGCCTTCGGTTGGCTCCGCACTGGGTTTTCTCTTTTCTGTTTTAATTTGGGGTGGATGGTTTGGGATGGATTTTTTTTTTTTTTTTTTTTTTTTTTACGTTTTAGCTTCTTCGGTCGAAGCGATCGCACCGTGGGTCAGTATCGGCCGCCGGCCCCGGCGGAGGGCGGGAGCCTGGGCTGCGGCGGGGCGGCAGGGCCGCGGCAGGGCAGCGCACCGGAGCCGTGCCTGGCCCTCCCTGGCTCGGTTGCTGCGTTCGCCTCGGCTAAGGGGGACCACGCTGTTCTTAGTAAAAGTCTATTTCCCCTCCTTTCTCCCTCTTTCTTCTTAGGATTTTCTCCCCGTCTCGGAAGCCCAGCAGAGGCACCAGCTGCTCCGCCGGCCCGCGCCTGCCCCGGGAAGATGGGAAGCAAGGCTCTGCCAGCCCCCATCCCGCTGCACCCGTCTCTGCAACTCACTAACTACTCCTTCCTCCAGGCTGTGAACACCTTCCCCGCAGCTGTGGACCAGTTGCAAGGTCTGTACGGACTCAGCGCCGTGCAAACCATGCACATGAACCACTGGACATTGGGCTACCCCAATGTGCATGAAATCACCCGTTCCACCATCACGGAGATGGCGGCCGCGCAGGGCTTGGTGGACTCCCGCTTCCCTTTCCCCGCGCTCCCCTTCGCCACGCACCTCTTCCACCCCAAACAAGGGGCCATCGCCCACGTCCTTCCAGCATTGCACAAGGACAGGCCCCGCTTTGACTTTGCCAACCTGGCCGTGGCCGCCACGCAGGAGGACCCCCCGAAGGTGGGGGAGCTCGCCAAGCTGAGCCCCGGACTGGCCTCGCCTTTGTCGGGCATCAGCAAGCTGTCTCCGGACAGGAAGCCCTCCCGCGGCCGCCTGCCCTCCAAGACGAAAAAGGAGTTCATCTGCAAGTTCTGCGGCAGGCACTTCACCAAGTCCTACAACCTCCTCATCCACGAGCGGACCCACACGGACGAACGACCTTACACCTGCGACATCTGCCACAAGGCTTTCCGGAGGCAGGACCACCTGCGGGACCACCGGTGAGGGACCACCAGGAGCGGGGTCGGGTCGAGGGGAGCCGGGGTAGGGTGAGCCGCTCGGGGGGGGATGAGGCTGAGCCGCTCCGGGAGCTCTGGGCTGAACCACCTAAGCAGCAGGAAGAATTCCCACTCCGACTCCGCGGCTGCGGAGAGACCACGGCAGCCGCAACCTGCTCTCTGCATGGGACGGGCACCTGCCTGAGGGAGAGGCGGGAGGGTTCACACCCGGAGAGGAAACCCCTGGGGCTTTTGTGCTTCTGAAGGCCGACCCTGGGGGGTGCGGGGAGCAGGACGGGGCGCAGGTGGGCGCTTCCCCGCTCGCCCTCCCCCCTCATCTGCGCACCCCGCTGCTGGTGCCGAGCGGCGCCTGCGGCCACAGAGCGGAGAACCCTCTCCGCCTTCGGAGAAGAGCGGTCTCGGGTCCGGCCGGCGGCACAGATGCTGTCCCGGTTTGGCACCAGAGAGTGAACTCACACTTCGATACGAATTGTTGCAAATGTTTTGAACCGTTAAAGAAGTTTAACCATAAACAGAATTATGAAGGAGGGAGGAGCAGGGTGAGGGATTTTGAGGGGAATTGGGTTTGGGGGAGCGGGGCCTGGGAACGGGTGATCCCCGCGCCCCCGGCAGCGCTGCTCACCCCGCGGGTTGCCTTACAGGTACATCCATTCCAAAGAGAAACCCTTCAAGTGCCAGGAGTGCGGGAAGGGCTTCTGCCAGTCCAGGACCCTGGCGGTCCACAAAACCCTACACATGCAGGTGAGCCCGGCTCTCCCCGGCCTCTCCACGCGTGTGCCGCCGGCACGGACATGGCCCGGCTCGGCTCGGCCCGCCGCGGGGCAGGGGCGGTGGCCGCCGGGGGAACGGTGCTCTGGTGCGGAGGGGAGCGAGGGGAGAGAGTGGGCTCCGGCACTGGACGGCCCGTGCTTCCCGGGGGAGGGCAGCGGTCGATGGTTACCTCCGCGGCCATGGGACACCCGCGGAAAAACGGCAGCCGTGGGAGAAGGGCTTAAAGACAACGGGGACACAGTTGGCGGCGAGGAGTGAACCCCGGGTTCGGGTTTGTCCACGCCGCTGCTTCGAGGCGTTTTTCGTTGAGGGCTGAACCCTGCCCCGGCGGCGACGGCGGGCGCGGGGCGGCGGGATGCGGTGCGGAGCGGAGCGGTGCGGGAGACCGCCGTGGCGGTCGGGCGGGCAGCGGGAGTACCGGAGCAGGAGGGCGGCGAGGCAGCCACTTTCCGTGCACGACAGGGGCGCGAAATGTCACGACTCGAGAAGTATAAAATAAGGCTTCTCGAGCAGGACAGGGCGAAGTGGGCGGTCGCCCGCCCGCCCGGGATTGCTCTCGTTCGTGTCCACCCCCGATATCTCAAGTTGTGCGTTGCGATGAGAAAAAGTGCAGTGATACGTTAAACCAGGTGGTTTGTGAAGGATTAATCCTTTGCTTGCTTCAAATCTGAACAGGAATCTCCACACAAATGCCCCACATGTGGAAGAACCTTTAATCAAAGAAGTAACCTGAAAACTCACCTTCTTACCCATACAGACATCAAGCCCTACAACTGTGAGCAGTGCGGCAAAGTGTTCAGGCGAAACTGTGATCTACGGCGGCACAGTCTAACTCACACCCCGCGGCAGGACTTCTAGAGCAGCCAGGGACCCGCGCCCGCTCCGGCAGCTCCAACTTGCCCAATTTACTAAAGGACTGTGTTGTAGGAACTCACAGACGCGCGCACACACATACACGGAGACACGCACGCAGACTCGGGGCCAAGCTTTCCTACCACATGTCTGCGAAACTCGTTTCGAGAGTGCGGACTGCAGGATCGGGCCCCTCTCCAACCCTCACCCAAGCGTAAAGCTCATCTTGTAGATAATCGCGGCTCATTTTAGAGCTCTGTACAGAACGTGGTTTTTTCTTCGTTTGTTTGTTTTGTATCGTGTCAGATGCAGATGGATAACAAATCGGGGAGGCAAAGTATCTCTTAAAAGTGTATTTCAAAATAAATCCTTTTTTTTTTTTCCAAATACCTCCTGCCTTGTTGTATTATTCTCTGAATATCTGGGCTTTTTTTTTCCTGCTGTGTCAATGCAATGGTAAAGCATATTGAATAAATTTTCTAGCTGGGTAATTGTACTGTCACAACAATTTTGGTGATCGCTTTTGTTTGGTCTGTTTCACTGTCGCTGTTGTGTTATCTATTGTTAAGTAAAATGAAAGTGCCTTATTTGAGAGTTTATAGCTCTATTACTTAATAGTATGAATGTCTAAATATTAACTTCTGTACTTTTTTTTTCCCCGAACGATTAAAAAAAAAAAAAAAAGACGAAAAAGAAAGAAATATTTGCAAATAAACAGATCTTAGGAAATAATGCATAGAGCCGTTCTTATGCCAAAGCGGCTTATTAGTAACTTATTTGCAATCAGCCCATATATTTTAAAAGTCATCCCTCTCTCGGGGATTGCAGCAGGCAGCCTACTGCCTGTAGACTTTGGACACGGGCAATACACCCACGTAGACAGGGACTTTATCCTGCAGAAGACGATTCTTTCCCGACAGCTCTGGAAGCAAACATCGAGGCGCCCTCTGCCCGGGGCTCATCCACGGGTCCCTGACAGAGCTGCGGCGCTAAAACGGGGGACCCCAAAAACGTTCCCCTCCTCCATCTGTGCTACCGAGGACAGGTCACGCCCAGGGGGTCGGACGGAGAGGCGCTGAGGAGAGGGACTGTTCCCTCCTCCAGGGAGATCTTCACCTCTGCGTGGGGGTGCCCAGCCACTCCCCGTCGGGGTGACTCTCGGCAGCTCCTCACGTCTACCCCATGGCCGTACACTCAGCGCCTGCACTGGGTATGCAGCTAGCAGGATGGTGGCACTGAACCACGGGCTCCCCTCCCGTCATCCTTGCAAGCCCTCACCAGTGCCTCTGGTGCCCTCTGGAAAAGGACATTTTCCCCGATGGTGAATTGGATACACATCCCACTCCACTGGTCTTGTCACTTTTGGCACACTCCCCACAGTGTTTTGAGTAGTATGGGGCCCCTAAAGTTGTTCTATCACAGGCTGGGGGCACCCATCCTACCCTACTCCTCTGCCAAACTAAGGACTGGCTAAGAATGGCAGGGAGAAATCTTTCCCCCAGGCTCAGGGAGCCCTGTCCAAGGGAAGAGCAATCCCTTGCACCACCTCAGCAGAGTGGGCTTCACTCCTAGGCCCCACCTAGCAGGATGCCACAACTCTAGGATGGTCCATCCATGGGGAGGGTCACATATCGTAGCACGTCCAATGGCAGCAGATGCTGACAGAGCTTGGGTGGTGGCACCATCACCATACCCAACCCTCGCTGGTCCCGTGGAGGGAACCACACTGCCTGAACCCTGTTAATGAGTAGCAAGTCAAAACCAGCAGCACTTGGTCTGCAGTCAGGCCATCAGTGCAGAAAGGGCTGCATCACTGCCTGTGCCTGCTTGTTATCTGTGCTGCAACCACAGAGGGCTACAATGCCCAACGTGGGCCAGGGGCAGAGACCCCAAAAACAGTCCTGCTCTGCACCAGACCAGGTAATCAGGATTTCCACTGATGCAGAAGACACGGCAGTCTCAAGCTCAGCCAGAATTCCTTAAGTAGTCAAGGCCTCTCTCTGCATCTGCTCCAGTCCAGGAAGATGAGGAAGTGAAAAATGTTTCTGCAGCAAGAAATACTGGTCTGCTTGCTGAAGAGAAGCCTCCCTAGTCAAAGTTTATGTGAGTGCTCTCTTCCTCTTCACCCCCTGTGACTTGCACCCATTCCTTTGCTTGGGTGCTGCACCCCTGGAACTGCCTTCTCCCCCCCTCCTGCCTTGTCCTATGGGCAGCCCCTATCCTCTCTCTTCAAACTGCTCCTTGCTCCACACTGCTCCTCTTCAAAACTCTCTTCATGGGCACCTCTTACTCCCTCCTCATGGGCATTTTCCCAATATCTGATTTCTTCTTGTCTGACTGATTCTTCTATTCCCAGTGCATTCCTGTTCTCCCAGTAGGTTATTTCCTCTAAGTTTTTCTATCCTTATTGTTCTCTGAGTTCCTTCCCCCAGGCCCTTTTACGTCCCCAAGTACGCACAGCATGGCTGGGATAACTCCATTTGAGTAAACACCCCTGTCAGGATACATATGGGCTTAGTCTGTTCCTCATAGGCCAAGTTCGATGTGAAGTTTGTTTGGAAAGAACTTAATCAGATGAACAATATCAAAGGACAAAATTGAAATGATTGTATATAGCTAAGGTTTTACTTAATTGTTTGAGGTTGCTTGTTTAACAATCTTCCCCCCGAGCAGACTGTAAATTTATCTTCTGAGGATTTCTAAAGTTCAGCAGCCAGAAAAAAAGCCCAAATTGCTGAAGTGGGTCAGTGACATGTATCTCTAAGAGCTGGTCCATGGACTGTTTTTTTTTTTAATATTTAAACCAGTAGCTATCATTTTAAAATGTCAGAGGATGATCTAGTATTTCTCTTTACTATCAATACACTTGCCTATTGCACTGACACGCTCCATTCACTTTTTAAAAGATCCTCACTCCCTGGAAAGTTTCAGAGGCAGCTATAAAGAACATGTTAAAATACACATATGGTTTGTTGGTTTTAGACCTGTTGGGAACAGAAACAAGTACTATAAAGCTACCTTTTGGGCAGGGCCAGGGTTTTTACAGCCATAAAGTGCCATCCTGACTTTCACAATGCAAACACTTAATACAGCAATATTCCTGTGATTGCTGCTTGTGTCTGTGTCAAGTATCCTCCTTCCCTCTGGAGCTCAGTTGCAGAACATAGCGCAGAGCTCCATGCTTCTGCAGTTTCCCAGAGCTTCCCAAATCACCTGCTTCCTGTTGCCCCATGTTCGTCCCTCCCACTGCCCCTTCTTTTTCGGCACTGCTGTTTTTTTGCCTGAACTGGCATTTTGCTGTGTTAGAGGCAGCAGCTGTAGTGCGGTAGCAGGGAAAGGATCTAGCTGTGTTATATACTAGGGAGAAAAAAGAGTACATAATAAGATAAAATGTCACAATAATCTCCATTTTCTAGGGGCAAATGATAGCTCTTAAGGTTGCATCTGAAAACTGAGCTCTTTGTACATCAGTTGCTGAAACAGATGCTGTCCACATCTGATGGTAGAGTAGCTCAGCCCAGCTATGTGTGCATAAAGCTTTTCTGTGAGGCCATCTATTACATAGCAACAGCATGCCATGCTATCCCAGACCAGCACAGACTATTCCTGATGCCAGTGCAGATTTGCTGGCAAACCACAGCTTTATACCAGTACCACCTCAGGAACATGTAAAGCCCAGATCTAAATGACAGACACCCCAGCAGCAACCCAAGAATGTGCCATGGCTATGTCTCCCTGGAGTTAAGGGCTGGTGTCCCGGGTCCCTTTGAGTAAAACATGTGAAAAACCATTATTTATTAAACTCCTCTCTGTCCTCCCTCACCTTCCACCCCTTTCTTCTCCCTGCTTTCCTTTTGGATATTTGCTTCAGGAGCTGCTTCTCTTACCCTTGACTTATCCTGTACTACACCCTGCCTCCTGCCTAGTCTCCCCTCTGTCTCCTTCCCTACGTCTTACCCCTGTTTCATTTTTGCTTTCTCATGTCTAACCCCGTGTTTCAACCTCTTTTCCTGAAAAATTTCCTTCACTCAGATTTTTTGGTTCCCTCTTTTGAATCACCCCAACTACCACTTGCTACCTCATTCTGTCCTTCAGCCACCAGCCCATATGAGCTTCTCTGTCTCCCCTGCGTGGTACTTCTCACATGCTGCTGGTCCTTCCTTGCTGATCCCATTAGTCAATGCCATGTCCACATGACACTCAGGAGGCATCAGTGCAGGTGCCATAGATATATGGCCAGTCTTCGCGAGCGAAGATCCGGGGAAGGTCTTTACACCTTCCAGCCTGCGCATATACTCCGACAATTTTAAGCATGCTGGGTCTGGCACAAAGCCAGCAGCATGATCCCAGAAGGACCAGGATTGGTGTCACATGCACCAGTGGCAACCTGGGCTGCTCAGGGTGGAAGCACTGCTGGCAGCAGTGCTGCAGCCTCCAAATTTTGTGGCCCTCATGAAGGTTGAGTGATTTCAGGTGCAATGTACTCAAGACTGAGTTTGCAGTTAGTCAGCTAAGCTGCACTGGTGGCTCAGAGCCTCTAATCATTCCATGCTCTTAATTTTGTAATTACAGATAGTCCTTTATGTGTAGAAGAGTGACCTGGTCTACAAAACTACATTACACAAGGAATTAGGCATATGTTGCTTTTATTATGAAATTGTTTCCAGCTTATATTTCTGTTCTCACAGCATATCTCTTCCTTCCTATGTATGGAAACTTGTATTAACTCTTTTTTTGACTTATAGCAGTGCAATTATGACAAAAATAGGGTAGCTACTAGCTAAAAAGTTATTTTTATTGAAGTCATTATAAAGAGGAATACTTAGATTGAAAAATACTTTTTCACATTCAAAATAAAACCATCATGTCCATATAAAACACTCATTTAAATATCTATTTTCAAAAATCCATCTGAGGTGTTTGTGAACATTTTACTAGAAGCTTCCAGTTTATCAAACAAAATACAAAAATACTACACTGAAAACACTAAATGTCTTTTTTAACTCTGCAGAATTAAGGCAATAGAAGTGTAGGTTGCTTCCCCTCCTCTGAGCCTTCTTTGCAAGCCTAAGCATCCTCTCCCAGGCGCAACTTTTAAACACTACTCACGATATGAGGAGCAGGACCCAAAAGCAGTGGGTGGGACCCAAAAATGGTGGCCTTGCACATTCATCCTCACTCAGTCAAGCTGGAGCAGTGCCTGGTCACCATTCCTGGGAAAGTTTCTTCCTCTGTCAGTACTCGGACAAAACTTGCTGCTGGAGTCTGACTTAAAAAATTTACAGATACAAACCCACCAAACTTAAGCTGAAATGAGTGGTCTACACAGTGGGGACCTGCTGACATGGCCATACCAGTGGGGAGTGTAAACTGGCTCCAT